TGCGACGGCATCTTCAAATTGATTACGGATTCCAAGTTCAAGGGCTCGTCGGTCGCTGTGCTCACTTCCTCCACTTCCTGGGCTGTGAAAGGAGGGCCCAAACGCTTCCGCTCACGTGCAGACCAGGATAAGAAACAAATACGACTTGAGCGTAGCCTTATAATCTTCATCTTTGCACTGTGGTCTTGGAATCTGCAATGCTGCAAGGCACTCTTCAGGCGATGTAATGTGAGTGTGAGTACACCTGAGTTTTTGGACATCGTGTTGTTCTTCCTGTGGCGCACCTACTGAAACGTCCGCTGAAAACTTGACTGTTCCAAGAAAGACCAAGAATTACCGGGCAAAAAATCATCCAAGAAAACGTGTGAGCAATAAAAATTACCCCTATCCTCACCCCTGGTAGGTAGTCCGTTGATAGTCCCAACTTGGACCATCCCCATGGAGCCCCAGCATGTTGGATGGCTCAACTCAACACCCCAACCCGGCATTGTCCAGGCGTCCAAGCTAGACAGCACCTGTGGCTGTACCGGGCGCCATCCGTTCTCCGTTTTCATCTGCCAGGCGCAGGCGTCTGTCGTGAACTCCAAGGTCTGCCCGCTCTGCGAGTCCACCAGCAACAAGGCCTGAGTGGTGAACTTGGCACCTGGGAGCCAGGTGAAGAGCCAGAAACATCGAGCATGTGTGACCGCTGTGCCGATTTCTAAGCAAATCAATGTAGAGATATGTTGTACAAATACATTGACGTATGTATATATCATGTTCACATATATAAACGTTCATATGCATATACAGAGAGAGGTGTGCATGTTTAACTTATAGCAGCACAGACAGCAATTCTACAGAAGTTTCAACTGTACACCGGGCACAGGTACAGAGCTTCTTGGCTTCTGTCACACAAATTGTCAGTCTCGCACATTTGAACGCCAAGACACTGGGACCTGAGTAAGCAGCATAAAGACGCCAATCCACGGGCGCCTTGGAAAAGCTCCATGCCAAAAAGTTCCCGCTCTTCAGGACCGTGTAGAACTCGTTCCTCAAAGTGTGAACGTGGGGATCATTGTCGATACCCCCCTGGGGCACGCAGCAGCAGACCCTGACGCTGCTGCCACCCCTCCTGCCGCACCTGGAATCGGAGGCAGCACCTGATGACTTGCAAGACCCGGTTGTGCCGCTGATGGTCGTGCCGACGATGTAGGGAGCCAGGTCGCTGTTGACCACGTCGTTGGCCATCAGGGGCGCGTTGCTGCACGTCCATCCAAGAGCAGCCACCTGTGCAACCAAAGCAGCTCCCTGAAGAGCCCTCTGCTGCGCGGGATCACAGACCTTGCCATTCTCGGCGCACTTCAGCTGGCAGCTGCCACCTGCAACTGTATAAAAAATGGGAAATCTACCAAGGTACTTAAGATGCCTAACACGATCAAAAGACCTCAACGCTCAATACATTTGGCAGGTTGCGGGTCTTGGATTTTGGTGATGTGCTTTTGGGAAGACTTAAAAAGTAGGTCCTCGCCCCATGTTTCAACAGTGCCACTTTCTGACTCAGCTTCTAACATTTCTAACAATGTCTATCCTTTGCATGTGCTTCTGTGCCATGAGGGTGTATCAAGTCGTTCCCTCCCACCTCCGGCTGAAAGTTTCCATTCGCAAGCTGGTGGGCCACTGGACATTTGGAGGAAGGAGGCATCATCTGAGCAATTGCCCCCAGCCAGGCAAATGTCATCTGTGTCCTCTCAAATTAAAAGAAAACAATTCATCTTCCAACCGAAAGAGGTGTCCCAAAGTTAGATGAGGAGATTGGGTTTCAGCCTACAGCTGCTGATATTGTCTGAATATTCATACGATATCCAGCGGACTCACAACATTCTGTGGCAAGCCTGACAAAGCTGTGATCCGAACAAATTTCTGGAGCTGTCCTGGGAGAACACCAGCTGCACCATCAAAGCAAACGCTGCCATCCGGAGCGTCATTGGGCAATACAAAGAGAACATGTGTCAGCGTGTCACCTCTGGTGGGTCTGTCCTTGAAGTAAACAGCTTCGACGGAGGAGTTTCTCAAAACTGCCAGGAAGAATCTAGATATGTATGTATATATGTCTATACTAGACGCACGTGCGTGCTACGCATGCACGTAGCGTCATCCTGCCCATGAGGTGCGTGGCAGCAAGGG